TTAGTTAGTTGGTTATGTATTTTTTAAATAAAAAAAATTTTGAATTTACTTACTTGTAGCTAGAGTTAGAGGCAATCAGATACTTATGATTGCTACTGTAATGCTAAAATAATTATTTTAATTTTTTATTATTTTATATTTTAATAATTATTTTGATAAAATTAGAATGAATGTAAATACATTTTTTATTTTATAATTTCAATAAAAAAAAAATAAAAGGGAATTGTTTAATTTAGTATCTATAAAAGTAATTTTTTAATATATAGTTTTATTTTATAAAACATAATTTTCAATAAAAGATTATTTAAAGAATAGTAAAGTATGTAAATATTTATAAATGAGTAAAATATATTTATTTTTTTAATTATTAATTTATTCTTATTTATAAGATTAATAGACTAAATACATTAAAACTTATTTGATTTTTAATAGAATTATTTTTTGAATTAACTCTAATTCTTTTTATTATTTAACTTAAGATCTCCTCTCTATATTTTTAATACTTGTCTTCTAAAAGCATAAGATATCTATGAATGTTTAGTTTATTTAAAACATAGCAACATATTATCTTTATTATATTTAAATAAAGCAACATATTATCTTTAATATGAAATATACAAATAATTCATTTGTTAGTTATTTTCTTTGGCAGATTAATCAATGTAAAGAACTTTAACCAAAATTAAATGTAAGTCTTTTATTAAACTTTGTATTATAAAAAAATCGCAATTGTTTTGTAACACTTTAAATGATCCATTAAATTATATGATAAAGTTTATCACGGAACATGAAACTTTAACAGTCTGATCAAAAAAAATATATATATATATTATTACTAAAAATTATTTCAAAAGAATTTTTATGACGCTATCGATAAGTTGTAAATTGATCAAAAATGCCTTCGTATTGTTAAATTAATTATTTTTATTTAATTAACAAAATCAACTCATCACCTCAAATAACAGACCACGTAAAAGAAATTTTTTTTATCGATCAATTGATCATGATTTGTCATCATGATAATTAAATTTTATTGATTTATATTCACCAGTGCCCGTGCCTCAACATCTTATGCACGGCTGATTCATGCCATGCTTAGATCAACTAATTGACACTTTTTAGTGAGCTAGATTAAATAGTTTAAATAAAATGATTTTTCTCCAAAAAGCTTTTCTTTTCTAATAAGGTTAAAAAGAAAGAACGATCTGCCCGAAACAAAAATAGTATTAAGGTCCGAAATAAGGTAATAATTTGTCGGGGCACTAGTGACACGCCACGTGCATAATAAAAAAAAAGATGGGTATCTGCCAAAACAGGCCAAAATGATCGATAATTTTAATTTTGAATTTCAATTAAAAAATTTTGTTGAATTTCGCCACGGCAAATACGGCTAGGGTGCCGTGTAAAAAATAAAGTTGGCATCTTTCAATAATGGAAATTTTGGATGAATCTAACTTTTTTTTCATGAAGCTCTGGTTATCAAGTGGAGAAATACCTTGCTTCCCTTGAATATATATCGGAATCTTAATCGAATGTTTGCTTGAGAAAAATGAGAGAAGGTGTAGATTTTTGCATAATGATTAGGATGATTGCACCATAAAAATATTCTTAATCAATATTTTGATCGAACCAAGTCTAATTTCAAAACCTTTATTAAAGACGTGAAATTACGTCAAATCATAGTATACTTAATAAAATTACATATAAGTTATCATATCATAGAAAATATTGGGTTACATATTAGTACATAATCAAAACTATAAAATTATATCATATATAAACTTGGGATTTAGGATTCAGAATTTATGCTTAAATTGTGGTTTTAACAAATAAAATGGTATCTTATGCCTTCCTTCCATACCATCTGCAAGACATTGCATAGCGTCCGTGATTCAATTTCAACTCTTTTGAACAACGATCACCAATTTTGTTATATTCTTCATCAGTAATTCCCCAAGCTGTTGTAAGGAGTAATTTAAATGTGTTAAAAGTCATTATATAAAATGTTGACATCTACAAAAAAAAAAATAAATAAATAAAATAAAAATAAACATAAAAATATAAATAAATAAAACGAAATGTTGGTAAATTTATTATTACCATTTCGCCGATTTTTCCACCCCAATTACCAACGGGTATTGATATTGTTTCGTTACGAATATCTTTTAAATTAGGTATTGATTCGAGAATTGACGGAATTGATCTTTGAAGATGTGGAACAATTCCTGTGGATTCAAGTCCGAGTTCGACTATTTAAAGAAAGGTAATACGATATTGTTTAGTTGATAATTATATGATGACTTCATTTCATTCTAATCACTAAAACTTACTTAAATCCTCGATACATTTAAATTCAGGACTAGAATTTTCATTAATTAGTTCCATTTCAAACATCTCGATATAACCACCAGGCTTTACCACTCTAATCATTTCTTTAACAAAATTCTCCCATTCGTTTATTGTAACAGAGGTTATCATGTTTCTTTGACAAACAAAGTCAAAAGTTGAGTCGGGAAAAGGTAAACCATCATTCACGTTACATTGTAAAAATCCTACATTTGGTGGTGTTTCATTTGAGTCAGGAAAAAATGGCGAAATATCTACCCCTACAAAGGTTGAATCCGGATAATCTTCGGCCATGTCAAGCAACCACCTTCCTGTACCGCATCTGTTAAAAAAGGAGAAGGAATTTAGCGTTGAATTATGAAAAGATTTAAAGAAATCTTTTAAATAACTTACCCCAAGTCCAAGACTTTGGCATTTCCATTCATTAATTTTTCATGCATTGGTGAAGAAAAATTACTTCTCCAAGCAATTCTCGTTAATAAATGTAAATAATTCAACCTATAAGCTAAGTTGAATCAATAAATAAATTAATTTTTCGTCACTTATTAAAAAAAGAATAATTCATACAAATTTACATTACCTTCTTCATCATCATTGGGGAAAAAATAAGTAAAATATTCACTTCTTTGATACCGTCTTCCTTTTATATAACAAAAAGAACCAAGCAAGGTATCATCAATTTCCAATGTCAGATTTGAACTTTGTGATGAATCACTTTCGTCGTTATCGACATAGTTACAATTATCATCAATTTCATCAATTTCGATAGAATCTGAGCTCTCAGGAGAATCCATAATGAATTGTTAATGAATGCCTTTGCTTATAGATAGACAAAATACGAGATTATTTCAATAAAAAGAAGGATAGATAACAAATTATTAAAATTAATATTTTTATTCGAAGAAATTGATTAAGTCCCAAAAAAAAAAAGTATCATACATTTAATATATATAATAAACGAGCGAAACTGATGAAATGTATCACTAGCTATTCGGACATTGTCGATCAACGTCGGAAATTTAGGTCACTATGAAAAAACGTTTGTATTTCTTTTAAATTAAAAAGGAAAAAAAAAGGAAATATTTATGGCGCGCATCAACCAATGATCTACTTTGATTGTTAAATTGTTCGCGCGTATCAAGAAAACTTGTAAAAATTTTTTCTATCAAAAAGCTTACACTTTGAAACTTACTATAGAATTAAATCTGAAACTATTACGAAATTAATAATGTATTTGGTTAAATTAAAATTCAGTCTATAATGAACTTCCAAATAAAACAAAAAATAACACAATGATAATTTTCGTAGATCGTGCATCTTTTAAATATGTAACCTGAGGAAAAAAAAAAAAAAAAGACAAATAAATCTGTCATATTAAAGTTTACTTATTTCCGATAAGGTATTAATAATTAAATTGCTTTCTCATCAAAGTAATAAATCTTTGGTTAGCTTGGCTTATTTACTATAGCCTAAACCTATTATTTAAATCATATCCGCAAGTAATACTACATCAATGCACCATCGTGTTTAGTAATCCGCGATGATCGAAAATGGATTATCTAATAAGGAAAATACAATAATCCCGAAAGTAGTAAGGAAATGCGAACGAATTAGCTCACATTTTTTTCCGGAAATCTTTTTTTTTTTTTTTTTTTTTTTTAAAAAAAAAAAAATAAAACAAGTTGAAGACAAATTTACATAATTACGACATTTGATCTTAAAATGGTGAACTTTTTGTTCAAAGATTTTTTTTTTATAATATTCAGATACTTGACAATATTTGCTTGAGAATTAATTCGCAAAAGTTCCGTTCAATTACAAACATAAGCTTTCAAGAAATTTAATTGCGTCCCCACATGTGCACATGTGCATTATATTTCAATTAAAAAAGAATGAACCTCACCCAATTTTTTTGATACTTTAATCTCGGAATAATTTTATGTAATGATTATGAAGCTGATGACGTAAGACATAAGAAAGGTTACATTAATATAAAAAATTATTATCCAATTATTTTGGAAATTATAGGCGGCAAGTTACATTGTTAAGATAATCACTTGATTTGATAAACGTGTACAACAAACTTAAAAAATTTTTTTTCCGAGATTGTTCTCGAAAAAACTTTCTCCTTTGTAAAACATTTTTAATAATGATTTCTTCCTCCATTGGATTTCTTAAAAGACATAAGAAAAAAATATTCATTACATTAGGAATTACAGGTGGTACATACTTTCTTGGAAAATTCGCAACATGGAAATTTTTTGAAATGCAAGAAAGGGCTGCTTCGGAACGAACCGCTCGAGAAAAGTTTGTTTCTAAACAACAATCTTTTATTTTGCTTCAATAAAGCTTTTGTTTTTGCCAATATATTAAATTTATCTCTTTTAGCATGAAAAGGCGATTTCAAAAAAGACAAAATGACTGTAGTTTTGCGGTATTATCACAGATTCCAACATTAACGCAACAATTGATGGATGAATTAGATGTTGAAATTATTTTCGCAAATTTACAAAGAGAAAAATATAGTAATGTGACCACAACTTCTCCGAGTGGATCAGTTGTATTAGTTAATAAAAATGATAATGGTGAAACTACTTCACCTTCTTCATCAGCTGTTTTAGTTGATCGACCTAATGATAGTGAGATTGCAAAACTTACGGAAACTACCACAGACATTCAAGGAGAAAATAGTAATGGAAATAATTCAAGTAATACAAGTCAGGAAAGTGAAACGAATTCTCCTCTTCGTAGTCCCGTTAATCCTCCTTCTGAGGAAGCTATTAAGATGTCAAAACAACTTAAACTTGAATTATGGACTGAAGTCAAATTCAAAAGTAAATCAATGATTTTTTTTTAAAAAAGAAAAAAAAGAAATTTCTTTTTTCTTATTTATGTATGTATTTTCACTAGGTTTCACAAGGACTATTGCAGCCGTGTATCTTGAAACACTCCTTACGATAACCACATTCATTCAATTAAATCTTTTGGGAAAATATAATTATCTTTATTCAGTTTACTCTATCACGGAACGTGATAGAGAACAATCAATTACAATTCAACCTGTTGATGGATCCATTTTAAATCATGTTACAGAAAAAAAATATTTAACATTTATTGGTTGGTTCTTGAATGTGGGATACAGAAAGATTGTTGACAGAGTTTTTGCAGCAGTTGAATCTTCCTTGTCAAGGTAACCATTACTTTTATTATTACGTTTTAATTAATAAGTTTTCTTTTAATTTGAAAATCTTAAAATAATTTATTATTAGTATGTCATTCAAATATGAACTTTCATATCAAGATTTTGTGTGGCTTATATCTGAAATTAGATCAAAGGTTGAAGGAAACGATAATGGCGATCCTGCTAATAGGTATTTATTTTACAATCCTTACTTTCATTTATTTTACGGTTTCCATAATCTTTGTGAAATGATAATTGTAGATTCTTTAATATTATGATGCCTGAAGATCTTTCGGATGAAGTAAACGTGTTGAGAGAATATGGAGGTGACATGTTTGATGACACTATTGATCCCAAACTGAGAAAGTTGTTGGACGAAACAAAGGACTTTATACATAGGTATTTAAAGAATTTATCATCAATCGTAACTTGAAAATGTAACTTACCTATATATTAATTAAATCTTGTCATGATGATTTTAATAAATGAAAAAAGTCGGGACTTTACCAAGGTTCTTATAGAATGCCTTAATTCGGCTTTTAATTTATTATATCATGATATGCTGCCTCATTTTCATCATCATGACACATCGCAAAAAGTTGAAAAAAGTATAACACTTGTAAAGTTATTACCAAATATTACTAAAGAAGCTCACGTCATTCTTAATGGTGTGCCAAACCGATTTCTTGAGGTTTGTCAATATTTATTAGATAATTATCATATCATGTTTAAAAAAAACCATGTTTTTAATATTTGATGATTTATTATAGGTGATTAAAGATTGTAAGGAATTGCAAGCATTCTCTGCAATTATTTATACCTCATTTGATGAAAATAAATATGAAAAGGTTTAATTATTTAATCACTTTTTTTTTTGGTAATAGTATGTACATGTATAATATTTAGAATTTACTCTATTAATAAAATTTATTTGGTAATAAATAAATAAAAAAACGTTGACAGAGAGAGAGAAAATTCAAAATTCAAAACACCATCTCCAACTTAACTAATTTGAAATACCTCATAATCATCAATAGAAAAGGTACCTTGAAGATCTCTAATTTTGTTTTCATAATATTGTAATTTAGTATGACCGGACCTTGGATTTATAATACCACCAATCCTTAAATCACTACCACTACCAAAAGAAATGTAACCAGTTTTGGAATTGAATACTATCTTATCAATTGATTCGCGTTTTAATCTACTTATTCTTGGTAAGAGTGGTGGAGAAATTGAAGTGGGAGAGCTAGGAGAATTATTATCACGAAACGAGAAAATAAAACTATTGATCGAATCAGGATGAGGCTTATTTGAATCGTCCCAACCGATCGGATTGTAACCGCCTATTAATTCATTGGTATTAAAAATTCTTGCTACAATTAATACATTTACTTTATAATCTATGAATTTATGCAAAATATCCAAGTTAAAACAATCACGAGATGCTCTATATAACAAAGTGAATGTATAAGGGGGTTTAAGTAGCAATGATGGATGATGATTTACATTGGACGAGAAAGCGTTCGTGGAGGTTGCTAAAAATGTCGTCGTGGTTGGTGTTAAGGTGAATTGAGAGGAGACGGATGAGGACGACGACGACGAAGAGTGAGATGATGAAGTTGAGATGCCATCTTTATGATCCAACCAATTTGTTATTATTTTTATATGATCATTAGTTATGATTTCGGAATCTAATCTACGTCTAGGAGGTTTTAATGTAAAGATTTTCTTTGGAAATAAAAAGGGAATGTTTGTATTTATATTATTTATATTATTACCATTACCATTCATCATACTGCTACCGCCACTTCTGCTATCATTCTTATCACCGAGATTTAAATTATTAAAAAGTAATTGTTTGGAAGGAGGAGGGGATGGTAATAAAATATAAAAATGATCTTGTAATTCATTGTAAAATTCAATATTAAACACTTCTTTAAAAGGCATTATAAACTTTCTAAAATCTGATTTCAAAAATTCTATGAAACGAATTTTCGTCGATAAATTTTCCAAAGATTTACCCAAGATATTATATTCTTTGGTACCCCATGAACATTTATTACTTAAATGATCTATTAAATCTTTTAATTCCAAATTTAATAACCATTCCTCATCATTCCGCGATGTCGTAGTAGTAGTCGTTTTCGTCGTTGCGTTATTATTATAAGATAAGATTGATAACTGATCATTTGATTGAAAGATTCCCCATTTTAAGATAAAACCCCAAATGTCAATTTCATTAAATTTATTGAAATCATCTCGATCCAATAATTCCAACAGAATTTCCTCATGTAAATAAAAAAAATTAATAGAATTAAATAATATTAAAGGATTATTAATTATTACTTTTTCAATACAAAAGTATTGTATGTCTTTGTAAGAAGAATGATTATAAGTTAGGTTCAATATGTGATGAATATTCTCTTGAATAAATTTTGAATGATTTATGATTAAATATTTCTGTATATGATTTATTAATTCATCTATTGCCAATTCATCCGATGATAATAACAATAATAATATTTCGGATGGAGGTAAATGATCCAAATATAAACTACCATCATAAATATATTTTAAAAGGATTGAAAAGATCTTTGGATGTATGTTGGGCTTTTTTAATATAATTTTATCATTATCATCCCTTTTTACCCAATCGTATGATAATGCCGCTTCAAAGTATTTACATCGTGATTTCAAGATCAACGAATGCGCTTTAAACGTTTTAAATTTCTCCTCATCATCACTTACAACGAAAGGTATGTTATTAAATGAAGGTATCTTGTCCTGTTCCCCTATCTCTATAATTACATTATAATCATTTGATGTTTCTAACAATTTAGTATAATCTAATGAAAGTTTTGTTGAAAAATATTCTGCAGGCATTTTTTTAAGAGAAAACCACCTTTTTTTTTTTTTTTTTTTTTTTTTTTTTTTTTGTTTTTTTTTTTTCTACTAATTTTAATTTTTAATTTTAATATTATTTTATTTTATTTTAATTTTTTTTTTTTTTTGGATTATTGAAAGTTCCACTCAAAATTGAAACGAACTTTCTCCTCCTTTTGATGGTTGCAATGCAGATGATTTTTGAGTTACACTTGATTTTGATTGGTTTTATTCCATGCAAATTTTTAATTTTATCCTTTTAGTTAAAATTAAAAGAAGTACGCACACAAGTTTTGTTTGTCGAAAGAAGCAAAAACATGTAAAATTTTTATTAATTTAAAAAAAAAAAAGCTTTATCGTCAACGAATCAGATGCTCGCGAATAATTGCAAAGATAAATCAAACGAAGAACAAATTTCTATGTAGGTAATCAATTTTCTTTTTTTTTTTTAGGGCGAATTCATTTAAATGGGGGGCCGTTCCAACACATTCTCATTGGGATCGATGTCAGTCATCGTGGAGGAGGGGGAATTAATAAATAAAATAAATTAAGGAAAAAAAGAAAAAAGTTAGATTTTCATCCGAAAAAAAAAAAATGAAAAATGAAAAAATCAATTGTTCGGTGGATGTTTCAGATTGTAATTGGAATGTTTTTTTTTTTTTTTGTTTATAAACATCGAAAGAAAATAATATACTTCTTTTCTTCTAATTTCATTATTAATCATCATTTAACATCATTTTTAGCATTATTATAAAATCTTACATACCATAAACATAGGTTTTACTTTTATTTTATTTTATTTTTTTATAAAAAAAAAGAAACACATGCATCTTTAAGGAATCCTTCAAATAATATAAGGAGCAAAATATTGCAAATGGAGAACGAAAAATTTTATTAATAATTGGATAAAAAAAAAAAATAAATAGACGGATTAATTACGAAAAAAAAAAAAGGGAATTGTTGAAAGGAGAGTATAGTAAATTTTTTTTTTTTTTTTTTTTTTGATGAATAAATCATTATCGATCATCATAAAGGATAAATTAGAAAAACCGGGTACCACAAATTTGGAAATTATTTATTTATAGTAAAAGGGATTTTTTTTTTTTCGTTCATCAACTATTTGTTTTTGACAGGTAAAAACGGTTTCTTTCTCTTATTTAATTGATTTAATTAGGAAATGATCCTTCGAATCATGTAAAAACAAAATTAATGACGTTAAAAGGATTTAAACCGAAAATGAGGAGGGGGACAATGAACTTTCAATTAAAGATTTATTCAAGTGCGGTGGATAAATCTTTTTGCAGTCAACAATTAGAAGCTTGACAAAAAAAATGCTGGGCGGGCACATGGTCACATAAACATCATTATCCAATAATGAGAATTTAATTAATAACATCAAAAGGGACTTTTTTAAGAAAAAAACAAATAGCATTCAACCAATTCCGATTTAGTATAATTCATATAAAGGCAGGTAGATTACTCAAAATGTCACACAAATTAATAGAGAATGTACTTTGTTTGTCGCACATCACAAAACCGAACTTTTATTATTACATACATATATATAAATGCATCATTTTTTAAAAAATTCCTCTTATTTATTTTATTTTATTTTATTTTTTTTTTTTCCTTGTTTTGAAACAAAAATTTCTACAAAAAATAAAACGAGAGATTTCAACAGATAATAACATGTCATCTAAAGAAAATAATGTCATTTTAAATTCAAAGTATGATGCTTCCGCCGAAAAAACTATTATTCTAAACGTTGGTGGTGTTAAGGTAAGGAAAAAAAAAAAAGAAAAAAAATAGAGGTTTACGTTTGGAATGACTCTTTCTAAATCGTCTAAAATTTTTATTTCATTCCATCAATTCAGTACGAAACACAGAGATCGACGCTTCTCTCGTATCCGGATACGTTTTTAGGAACAATGTTTGCAAAGCGTAATCTGTCATTACTTCATCCTAAGAATGAAAATGAATATTTTATTGATCGAGATGGAAGCCTGTTTCGTTACGTGATACAATATTATCGCACCGGAAAAGTCTATTTACCAAAAGACAATGTTACATCATTGGTATCTTTAAAGGAGATAGAGGCGGAGTTGGATTATTTTCAAATCCCTTTTAAAAAACATGAAAAGCAAAAAATCATACAAAAACTTTCTTTCACAAATAATCCAACGGTAGAGAAATTAGATCAATTCATATACGTCTTACGTAACGTTATAAAAGAGGTCATGGGTACCTTTGAAACCGAGGTCATGATAACGTTTAGTAAAAATGGTTACCCGCCATTTATGAATTTTGGTCGTTATTATGTTAAAAGTTCCGTTATAATGGAAAATATCGATTCATTAATCAAACCATTTGGTAGCGTTGCTTATACATTTTTGGATAAGTATGGTTCCGATATCGGTCAACATCTTAAAGGTGAAATACCCGAATTAAGTTGGCAATACGGTTATTCACAAAACAGGGAACAACTTAAGTTACACATGAGTATTAGTAATATCATGAGCGATGAGGAAATCTTTAAGCATTCTCGTTTAAATTTATCCAATATGAAAATAAAAGAAAAGTAAGAATGAGGGTTACAACAATAGAAATTTTATATAATAAATCAAGTTTCGGTGCTTTTCAAAATTCCTTCTTAATAGAACAATTTTTTTTTTTTTTATGTGTTATTTAAATTAACTTTAATTGAAATAAATTGAGAATAATGGTTAAACAATGTTTAAAATGTCAATATGTTGTAGACTCGCTCTTTGCGAGTCATAATAAGCAGAACAGACAAAAACATTACTAAATGATTAGAAGTACACCTGAGCCACTTATATTTATGATTTAAATCAAAATAATAAATACTTAATATAAATAGTATTACAAGATTGGTAATTTGTTATAGACGAGGCGTTAATATACTTCCAAATTTGTTCACAGTTGGAAGTTCACGTGATCCGCAAGTTTAGATACATTATCCGTAGCACATCTAAAAAACGTTTTGAAATTCAAATAACTTTCCCTCCAAAATTTTATAAAGATGACTGAATATTTGTTGACACTTTCATCAGATTTCACGACCCTTTTGGAAAAAACAGATGATTATAACGTTTTAATTGAAATAGGACAGAAAGAGAATGCTAAAACATTTAGAGCACATTCTATTATATTACGTGCTAGATCAGAATACTTTCGTGCTGCTTTATCAAATGATTGGGTAAGAAGAGAAGGCGACATTATGATATTCAAAAAGCCAAACATTTCTTGCAACGTTTTTGACGTCATTCTAAGGTAAGTCCGATAAAAATTTTCGCTTTGTTGTATTATTCTGAAGGTTTTAACTCTTTCCCTATTACTAGGTTTATTTATAGTGGAACAATTTATTTAGAACTACTTGAAGATTCAGAAATCTTTGAACTTTTAGAAGCATCAGATGAGTTATGCTTATTTGAATTATTTAATCATATACAAGATTATTTATTAACTGATAAAGATACTTGGATGAAACAAAATATCTTTAATGTTTTGCGTGTTGCATTTAATCACGTTTCATGTGATAAATTACAAAATTTTTGCTTTAATATTATTAATGAAAATGTTTGGAATTTATTTCAGTCAGAAGAATTTCTGGACGTGAATGAAAATGTAATATTACAACTTCTTAAAAGGGATGATCTGGGAGTCGAAGAAACCGTAAGCTCATGTATACAAAAAAATTTTCGTCTTAATACTCAAGATATTCCTTTTATTAACGAACCTCTTTTTTTTTTTTTTTTCTTAGGATATATGGGATTTTTTGGTAAAGTGGGGAATAAAAAACGCCGATATCCCATACGAAAATGATATAGGGAGTTGGTCATCAGGAGATTTTTCGGCTTTAGAAAAGACACTTTGTAATTTAATCCCGCTTTTAAGATTATTTCATATATCTTCAAAAGATTTTTATCATAAAGTATGGCCATTTGAACAAATTTTACCGAAAAAATTACGAGATGATCTTTTATCATTTTATCTAACAGGCGAAGTACCAAAAAATATAGTAATTCAGGCTCCTAGAATTTCACAAAGTAATATAGATTCCGAAATAATTTTATCAAAACATGCTATATTAATTTCAAATTATATCGTTAAAAAAAATATTCACTCATCAAAATTTGCATTACCATTAACTTCAACATCTTCTCATTCATTTAAAAGTGAAGGAGTAAATATTCCTCATAGATTTAGATTAATTTATCGTGGTAGTAGAGATGGATTTTCTTTTGAATCATTTCATAAACATGTTGATAATCATGGTTCAACCATCGTATTTATTAAGGTTGCTGGATCCCCTGAAATTATTGGGGGTTATAATCCTGTAGGATGGTATAGTTACGGAAATTATATTGCTACAGGTGATAGTTTTATATTTTCAATTGATTTAGATGAAAAGGATATTACGAACACGTCTCTGGCACAATTGCAGCAACAACAGTCATCAGAGATCATTTCAAAGATTAGTCGAGTGAGACCTTATTTTATTGATGGTGCCATTTTCGATACGCAACACCATGGACCATGTTTTGGTTACGGTGACATTTGGTTCGGTAATAAAGCTAAACCGAGATATGGTTCTTGTGCCAGAGTTTATTATGAACATGAAATCAGAGACGAGGAAGGTGAATTCTTTGTCGAAGATATAGAAGTTTTTCAAGTTATAGAAAAGTAACCTTTTTATATTCATTGGTTTGTTTTGCATTAGTATTTCATTTATTACCACCTTATTATTTTTGATTGATTAGATTTTTTTTTTTTTACCTAAGAAATAAAAGATTTTTTTTTTTTTCATTTATTTAATTTACGACTTTGCTCACAAAATGTTTGCATATGAAACCTATAAAGATCGCTATTTGACGTGTCAAAAGTAAAATTTCTCCGAAAACAAAAATTTTCACACCAACACCATTAACATTTACTGAATTTTAGTTTTTTAAAAAAAAGTTTCTTTGATTACGAATAATTGTGTATTTTTATTAATAAATAAAGAAAAAGAGAAAAATGATATTGTTTATAACCCATGAAAATATATTTGATACTATTTTAACCCATCATCCCTTTTGATGATGTAAGTATATGGATCTCGCCACTCTTCAAAGCTCTTTCGCTAAAAAGTTGGATATTTCCGGAGTAAACACTATGGTCGTCCTTTTCCACAGTTACTACAAGTGTTCAAAGGGATAAATATATTAGTAATCTTGTAATGGGAAAAAAAATTTTTTGATAAAAAGTCGTTGAGGACTTGTAATGGGAAAAAAATAGATAAACAGTCTGTTGAAGACTGAACAAAGTCATTGAGAACTTGTTGAGAAAAAAAATTTTTGATAAATAGTCTGTGAAGACCGAGACCGAGATGAAAAAGACGAACAAAAGGAAAAAAAAAAAAGACGATGATAATAGGAGAAAGATAACAACACGATAACCTAAATTCCACCCATTTCGAAAAATAAATGAACTACTACCAGCCGGTCGAAGCCAGGAATTCATTTTGCTCCTAGGCGAAGCAGATTTTCTCAACTTTCTTAAAGAAAGAACCGAGCAAGTTTTTAACGAGAAATAAGTTACATAACTTCCGCGCTTGTGCGGATAAACGTTCTAGGAGTAGAAACAAGACATACTAGCAAGGTTTTACACTTACCACGCAAAGATGAAATTCTAACGTTCTCGCAAGAGAAACTGCAGAACTGGAATGAAATGAAATGAAAAATTGTGAGGTTTATATACCTACGTCAGACGTTGTTTATGACGCGTGAGACTTTAATTTCTGATTGGTCTGTTCATCTTTATCATTGATTGGTTAATAACCAATTTAAATAATTTAAATGATCGACAAATATATGTATAACATGTTATTTTAAAAATTTTAAAAATTTTAAAGTGTGAATATAAAAATTGTCGCATATATAACATTAATAAAGATTATTTTTTAAGATCAAAAAATATTATGAACTTTTATTTATAATAAAGGTAAAAAAAAAAAAAAATTTTAACAAACCTTATAAATTTTTAAAAAAAAAATACTAATGAAAAATTAAAAGAACTTATAAAAATAACAAAATAAATAAAATAACATAAAATTTATATACTTATCAATAATTTTTAACTAATATTAGAGATTATTTTTATCAAAATATAAAATTACAATAATAAAAAAATATTTAAATAAAAAATATTTTTATTATATAAAAAGAATATATAATTTTATATATCTTAAAATATAATAATCAAGAAAAAAAGAAAAATATTAAAAATATTAATTAATATAAATTAAAGGTTGCAATTAGTTTTATTTTTGAAAATCTGTTTTAAATTTAGGCTAAAAATCTAATTTGATTACATTTAAATTTATGTAAAACTAAATTAAATTAAATAATCAAATTAAATAAATAAGTTTGAATTAAGTTATTTCTAAATAATAATATGTTTATATTATAATGAATGAATTTAAAGAATATAATTTTTATTATAAACTATAAGATTTTAAAACATATAATCAAAGATTTGTATTATAATAATTTAATTTATTGAATTATTAAATAAATTTTGTTTTAATAATGTAAAAATACTAAAATTTTATTAATATATGTAAAAAAAATAGCATATATATATTCATAAAATTATTTTATAAATTAATATTTTATTTTTCAAATATAATAGAACTTATCATTCTATATTTTTTTATATTCACCATTGTAAAATTATGAATAGATTTATTAAATTAATATAAAAACTAAAATTTTAAAAATATATGATATGTATTTATTAAACTAGTTATACAAATAAATTTTTTATTATATTTTATTAATTATTTAGATTTTAATATTTTTTTTATATTTTTTTTTCATTATTTAATATTTAAATTAAAAGAGTTACAGTCATATTTTGAACAATTTAGTTTAGTCAAATTATAAATTAATTAAAATCTAAATTAAATTTTAATTCAATTTAATTTAAATATTATAATAAAATAATAATTAATTAAAAATCAGCTAGCCTAACAAAATACATGTAACTAAAAATTATATTATAATAAAAAGATAGTAAAAGCAAAGAAATAAATTAAATAAAAATTACATAAAGACTTAAAAGATGCTAAAATTTTCTTTTCTATTATTAATCAATTTATATTATTAATTATTTATATTATTAATCATTTTATATTATTTATCAATTTATATTATTTTAATTATTTAAATTAATAGTTTTTATACAAATAGGATATCTAATAAGATTATTAGACAAAACTTAAAGATTTTGCAAATTATCTAAATAATAAAAATTAAATTTAATAAAGTTATATTAAAACCTTATTAAAAATTTGCAAGACTCAAGAAAAGTTAAAACTATATCAAAACTTATAAAAATGTAAAATCGTAGTTTAAATGTTTTACCAAATCTAAAATAAGTTTATACAAACAACTTTAACTATAGACTTAGTTAATATAAGAATTTAATTTAGGTCTATTAAAAATAAAATAAATATTAAATAAATTATATGAATTCTTATACTTAATAAAATCTTAATTATTCATCTTAAATTATATGT